TAGTCCAATTAACTAAGCCTTTAAATCGAAATTTTGCCAACTTGGCTGAATTTTTGATATGAGTTAGTTTAAGGTATATTATAACAATAAGTGAGAGTAATTTTTTGTTCAACCCCCGGCCAAGGGTGGAAAAAGATAAAACAAAGGGCTTTTTCAAGATAACTCAAAAAGGGTAAGAGCTAGAAAAAGCCCTTTGTTTTATCTTTTTCCACCCTTGGCCGGGGGTTGAACAAAAAATTACTCTCACTTATTGTTATAATATACCTTAAACTAACTCATATCAAAAATTCAGCCAAGTTGACAAAATTTCGATTTAAAGGCTTAGTTAATTGGACTATAACTCATGTAGTAGTAATAACATATATAAACTGTTGTATTTGTACTGCGTTTTAAATGCCGGTCAATAATAAAATTGATTGTAAATGTATAATATAAATTAAACGAATAAAGTTTAATTGAACTTTCCGACTTTTCCATTCCATAAAGAATCTTAAATCCATTTTAGCACGGAGTTGCAAGAAGTTTCGAAATATTTCATAATCCGTTTTTCATATTAAATTTATTTTCCGATGCGATATTTTATAAAGTTCACAACCCGCCCTTTCCACTCTTCTACTGACCGGAAAAAGAAAAAGATTAAATAAATCAATTCATAAAATACCGATTTAATTAAAACAACATTAAAATTTACCCAGTTGGTTTTGTTTATAAGCATTTGTACTGTTTAATTAATGATATTACGGGAAACAACTACTCTGCGGACTTAAGCCCCTTCCAACATTAATAATATAGGCACACCCAAAACATTTGTGATCCATTTCGTGAAATAAAAGGGCCACTCTTTCCACAACCAGAACCAGGTCTCTAACCGTAGTAAGCGTTTACCTGTGACTTTTTTACAACTTTTAAGACTTGTCTGCTTTCTATTTACGGCATTTTACTTCCCACTAGAGTGCAGATGGGTGGAGTTAACAGGCCTAGGTAACAGTTTTCACCCACATCACTCGGTACTTCTAAATGGTAAAATGCCTGTAAAATGCACTAAAGACACATGCCAGATCTGCAAGGATCTATTCTCGGAAGCCATGTAGGAAGGCGCCGAGCCGTACACACACCGTTTTACCAGGATCGGCGTTGACGATTTATATCGGAAAACATTTTAATTAACGGTTATGTTATCCATAAAATATTATTCACAAATTATATGTCGTGAAATAGTTTCAATAATACAAAAGTACGAAGGAGGTATGCATTTTCGGATATTTTCTTACATATGTAATTAGTGTGACAATCCTATGGTAATTTAGACTCTAAATGTACCCTTTATAATTTTACTGAGTTAGGATTTGGGACGTCTTTGGCTTTTATATACCGTCTCGTTAAATTTAAATTTAATGGATTAGAAAGAGACCAGTAAATCATTAATTATAAGACTGCGGTTAGACGTCAAGTTACTATCATCAAATTGAACACAATGTTAACATAAATAACAAAAGAGAACCGGCCAAGAGCTGATCCCTGTGGTACTCCTGCATTAAATATGAGGCATGTTGATGTAGTTTTATTATGGATGAACATCTATTAAAGAGGTATGAATATATAAACCAACAATGTGAGCTGTAAAACCAAAATAAGTTAATTTATCTATGAGAATTTAATAACACAAATATTTTGAGAAGATTAGAGGAGCTTGGAACTTATGATTTTTTATTGCTAAAACTTGTGTTGATCTCTGATACTAATTACTAATCTGTTTACGGTTAAAGCTGTTGAGAGCTTTTTCTAAAGCCGTACTCTAAGCGTGGTCGCACACTGGATCAATGGACAGTAAGCAATACGCAACTAGCAATACACGATATTATCACCCATTTACAATACAATAATAGGCGAGCGGTTCACCCCTAAAAAAAGGCATGAACCGACTAAATTTTTAGAACAAAAACCTACAGCATGAAACTTTTTTTTATTTTGTAGTGTATTTTTCTGATAGTATTACATATATTTTTATATATTTTTCGTTTAATTGCTATAAAGAAAAAAGTTGTAAAAAAAATTATACGCCGAATAGCTTTGAAAAAGGTTTTTATTGTAAAATAAACACATTGTTCTTTGACAAAAGTTCGAAAAATGCTTCGTTTCCGGGATATTTACAATTTAATGTGTAAAAAGTGACGAAATCGACAAACTTTTCAATTTTTTTTTCTCAAAAACTACTGAACCGATTTTAATTCTAAAAAAAGCATAATAATCGACAGATTTTCTACTTTAAGATATATTTTTTTGGTATGGGTCAATCATTTTATTGAAGGTATAAAGCGAGTAAAAAAAAATTAAAATGAAAATTATAATAACACTTCAAATTTAAATTTTCATTTTACAATATCTTGGATTAGATTATATTTACAATAAACATTATGATTTTTTTGAATCGATATATGTTAACAGTACAAATGTTCAAAAGATCATTTTGTTTGGTTTTGTAGCCGGAATAAGGTTTTTGCAAGTAATTAGTAAAATTTAAATATTCGATTTTTGGTTTTATAAATGGCTAAAATTGACTTGAAAGTTATACCAAAACTAAACTAAATAAGCTTTTTAAATCGTAAAATTAACCTAATAATAATAATTGACCTAGCGGTCTCGAAAAATAAAAAAGTTATTGGATAATTTATTGTATAGGATAATTATTTTATTTTTATTTTACAAAAATATTAAGAGCAATAAAAGTATATTAATTTCTTTTTTATTTAATTTTTAAATAATAAGTTTTTCGTTATTTTCGACAAGTTCTTGAGTTGAAATAAGCGTTTCATCATCAATTTCGGATGGAACATTCTGACATTCATCTGAGCACGCACAGACTGCACAGCATTCCAGGTTCGATGACAAACAGTTACAATTTTTCGTAGAACATTTTCCACTACATGAACAAAAATATTTTTGAAGCATATCTAACGCAGTTTCTCCTTCGAAATAATTAAAATCCAAACAACCATTTTCGATTTTCCATCCATGTGTCAATGGATCTAGAGTTACAATTTCACTATTTGTAGACTGTTTTTTTTACTCGCTTTAGACCTTCAATAAAATAATTGACCTATACCGAAAAAATATATCTTAAAGTA